GGTAGACAACAGATCAAACTGTCTGGTTATGTGACACGATTGGCATCAGACAGGGTAGCACGGGGAGCAATGGTACAGGGTTACAGAGGTAACAGATTCAGGGGTCGATCACGTAGAAGATGAACCGATGAAATATCAGACACAAAATACTTTATACGAAGCAAACAGAAGGGTCCGTTCCATAAATCTCTTCCTGCACTGACGCTTCGAAGCATTCCAGGAGTAGAGAGAAGAACATGAAGATCTTTCTCAGGCAGACTACGGAAGTGGTTGCGATTATTGACGTCTGCATGCAGTTCATGTTTCACAAACATACAACAGCTCTGTATATCTTCAATTTTGTTTGCAGATTGATGCCATTTTGATGCCAGATATTGGTCTGCCACATTGCGGTGCAGTAACCAAACAAATGATTTGACTCGGGCATGCTTTCTCAGTGGTTCATTGAGTATGTTCAGGAAGACAGAGATGGGCTAGGCTCCTAAACACTGATTGGTGTCTCTGAGACTGTCTTGGTTGACGAAGATCCTTTTTATGGGGGGGGGGGGGGTGTTAGGGTATGTAGGCGTACAAGGAGAGCAAGCTGATAGGCTAGCAGACAGGGCTACTGTGGAGGCATGGACCAGGCTCAAATACTGAAGTCTCAACCAGAATAAGGATGTGTTTGAGAACTAAGTGGTGACTGAATCTGCAGCCATGATCAGACTGAAAGAACGGCAAGTTTAACGACAAGAGTACTGCAGGAGGAAAAATAATAATAATAATAATAAATAGCTACAGAACTATAGGGGGCTTTTTAATAAAGTCGGAGTGCATCTGCCTGAGAGAGAGGCAATGAACCAGCAGTCTGTATACAATTAAACAAGATCTGAAAAACGGATGTACACTCAAAACTCAGGTCCTGCTACAAAGCCAAAGTCCAGGAATGGACGAACAACCAGGTATTTCCGCAGAGGGTTACAACCGAAAATTGCAAACAACAAATCCATCGTTAGAAAATTATTATGCATTTATCTTTTCTTGACATTATGTATTTAAGAGTTATGTACCCTGTCTTCCAGCAGACGATCTCTATCTATGTCTGTCCTTCCATCAAGAAAACTGCGGTCACGAATGTGAACGTTTTGTCTTAACTGACAGTTCTGTTTAGTTATTTTACGTGTGCAGCTGCCCGTGTAAGTAACTGTGGTAAAATATGTGAATTGTTTACATCAGCGTAGCTTTTGAACTGAAATGCTACAGAAAAATTCTTAGAATACCGTGGAACAAGAAGAAGGGCTCTCCTAGCAGATTTGGCCGGCAAATTGGACTGCTTCGGCCGGCTTAGTGGGGCTTAGTGGGAGTTATGTCCCATCGCCAAACTCAAAACAACTCAAAACAAGTCGCGGAAAAAGTCACGAGTCAAATGATATACTTACCTATCATCATCCGGGTGCGTGTAGGGTTGCGTGTAGGTGTAGGGCTGCTTATTGCGTGTAGGTTGGTTGTTTGCGTAAGATGAGGGGTAGGGTTAGGGTTTAGCGTTAGGGTTAGGGTTAGGGGTTAGAGGTATGGTTCGATTTGAAAATTTTCACGTAGGAGGTCGAAATAGTAGCCGACAATCTGACGTTTGTGGGAGTGGCGGCACTGAAACTCTACCAAATATGACGCCGTAGTCACCTATAATCGCGCACAGTCGCATGCACGCGCAAACAGTCGACGGTCGGTGGATGCTACTGACACGGACAATTCGCCAGCGACTGGGCACCAGCCGCCCGCTATTGGCGTCATATGTGGCAGAGTTTCAGTGGCGCCACTCCCACAAGCATCAGATTGTCAGCCACTATATCGACCTCCTACGTGAAAATCTTCACATCTAACCATACTCCTAACCCTAACCCCTAACCCTAACCCTTAACCCTAACCCTACCCCTCATCTTACGCAAACAACCAACCTACACGCAATAAGCAGCCCTACACGCAACCGTAGGACGGTGATAGACACCCTGCGCAGCCCTACATGCAACAGTAGAATGATGGGTAACCCTAGACGCAACAGTACACAATGCTACACGCACCCGGATGATGATAGGTAAGTATGTCATTTGATTCGTGACTTTTTCCGCTCGTTGTTGTGAGTGCGGCCAAGGGACATAACTCACAGTAAGCCCCACTAAGCCGGCCGAAGCAGTCAAACTTGCTGGCCAAATCTGCCAGAAGAAGACAAACCTCGACATCCTGCCTGATGTGAGCATCATAGAGAACTGGCAGATAAACAGCATCCTGTCCTGAAAGCTGAGATATTATGGCCATTTTGAGGCCCTGGTGGTGTGGACAGAACGGTGATGGAGTTTGTAGTGTCCGGAAAACAAGGCAGAGACTGATCTCCATAAAGGTGGATATAGGACATTGAAGATGCACTGACTGTTATCGAAAGCACACGGGGCTGGAGGATTGGCTGAACAAGGAGAGACAGACTTCCAAAAGTGTCTTGAAGAGAACGATGTTGAGTCCCAGGGGATTTAGCATTACAGGCCCAGGGGGTAGTAAATAGAGTCATAAAATCGGCGCATAATGTCTTCATTGGGCTTCTAGGTAGGAACCTATGAACGAATGACGCGTTCCTTGGGACTCAAAGAGGTAAAGGACGGGACATGCTGATTGGTCCTCTTGTGCACTTTCCTGCCTATGATGTATTTTATATTTTTTGCCCATCTTTAGATGGGTCAGACCTGCCCCTCTTTGTGGTGCCATGCTTTCTGCTACTGTTCTTTCCAATCCACTGTAGTGCTTGATGTTGCCAAAATATTTGAATTTCATTTGTTAAGATGCTGTTTATGATCCCGGCATGCTTGATTTAATATATTTTAGGATGTCAGTATTTTCGACTATCCTCCAATAACAGTCCCAAATTATCGGGACCGAAAATATACCCTAACAGGACCTCAGTCACATGTCAATTGCGCACTTCCGGCGACTTCCGCCACCGCCGAGAGTATCTCCTAGGCCGCTATTCGTGGCGTGGATTTGGACTAAACTAGATGGCTGGGACTCACAAGCAGCAGCTACCGCATCTCCTGCAGCTTCCTTAATTTTATTTGCTCGTGAGTCCCAGCTATCTAGTTTATCCCCAATCCACGCCACGTATAGCGGCCTAGGAGATACTCTCGGCGGTGGCGGTATAGTCCTCGGAAGTCTACAATTCGGCGGTGCAGTATAGGCCCCGGAAGTCCGCAATTGACATATATAGAGTATATTTTCAGTCTTGATAATTTGGGACCGTTATTCGGAGGATAGCCGTATTTGCTTCTTACCAGTGATATTCTGAGAATATTTCTATAGTTTCAGCTCCCAAGTTCCTGTTCTTTTTCATAGTAATTGTTAGATAGACCATGACTCATCTACACTACCAGTGCCACATTAACAGCCTGAAGCTGTGGCATTTATTTCCAATTTATTTTTAATGTTACATTAGGAGACAGAGTGTGAAATGGTACTATCAGATAGAGCTAACGTCAAGTACTTTGAGAAGTAGAAGATCAGATGGCTTGGGCATCTTGTTAGAATTCAGCAGGACAAGTTACCAATTCAGTAGCTATATCTAAGATTGATCTGAGAGCGAGGGTTTGTGGTGCGTAAGAAAAAGATGGATTGCTGATATTAAAGATATTGCACGTTCACACAATGAAAAGCGGCGTCCGTGGCTTAGGCGTTGCGATTCCAGCTCGTAATTCCAACATACCGCTGTCAAAACCCACTGCTGGCTGCATGGATTTTTATCTTGGTATGGGGCGTCGCAAGTTGACCCAGCCTAAAATGGGTACCAGGATGTATGTCTTAGGGAAATAAAGATGGCTGGCGTAATGCTGACCACATTACCCACCTAGTGCTGATTGGTCTGTAAAAATATAGGTGCTCTTCCTATATGTCTGATGCCCCTAAAGGTGTGAAAAGGGATCTTTACCTTTTACTTACCCAATGAAAAAGCATAATATTATAAGTAGAGTCTCCTTTAACTAGTACATACAGTGTCTAAGGAAAAAAGGCAGACCAATTTTTAAAAAAAAACATGCGGAAAGTACAGAGTGAAATTAAAAATATAGGAAGGACGTTGGGTGAGCTACACTGGATAGCAAAGGATAGGATGATTTTTGTCTGAATCGATTCAAGGCCTAAGTTCCTTGGGGAGGGGGTTGGGGGAATAAAGCAGAAGCCAGTACTGCCCATCAATGGCTAAACCACTAAAATATTCCTCTCCACAAAGTGTGACTGCAAAAGTAATTGATAATCTTGAATGTGTGAACTGTGTCTCATTGTTTAAAGTTTGCTCTGAAGAATGAACTGTTCATTGAACAAAGTGAAGAAAGTTAAACTGCAGTATTAACAAAAAGTGCGCAAGGCAGGAGACATGGTGAGAGACTGAGCTTCTTTCAGGCAGACCATGATGAGAGTGATGTTCTGCAAAGAACCTGCTACGGGATGAATTGAATTTGAATTAGGGAGCCGGGTCATGTAAGAATTATGCAGCAAGCAGAAGAGTAGATGAACCAGCCCATGCACTGAAGATTAAATTATCTCAGAGTAGGCAGACTTGATAAATAAACTTTATCACATAAACCAATAGAAAAACAGCAGCATACCATTGACTGGCATTTTCAACATGATCAAAATATAAAACTCATGATATTTTTATGCAAAAGAAAATGTTTAATAGAGTATGAATTGCTTAATTTTTTTTCTTTTAGTATAAGACAACAAATGTCCTAACATTTTTTGAGGTTAAAATTGGGGTCGTATTATAGGTGGATTATTTTGAAAATATTTATTTCCAAATTTTGGGATTTAAAAAACTTTTGGGTGGTCTTATACCAAGGGGGTGTCTTATTCAAGGAAAAATGTGGTATTAGCTTACCATGTTTTTCATGATATTACACAATCAAGTAACTTTTCTATCAATCTTGTTTACTGTGACAGAATGAAATGTTAATTGTTTTTTATTATTATTTCAGAATTTGCCTAGAATGATTGATTTTCTATCAGGCCTTTTTCTGGCCTTGCTGTCACTTGTTGCAGTTGTGAAAGCCATCACACTTTACAAGTCAAAAGTTACACAGCACAGATGTGACGGAGTTACAGAAACTTCATTATCAGCAGACAGCCAGTTACAATCCAGCACGTCACTATCTCATTGCCGATCTCCAGGCTGCTATCGATGCTCAAATAACCAGGGCACTTTGCAAACAGCCCTGACCAGACTGAGCTATTATGCACATGGAGATAATAGTGCTAAAGATGGTACCGCATTTGTTAGTTTGTTATCTGTATCATTTTCCCCCCACAACTGGTTTCTGCATTATTATCCTCTTTTCATAGACAGTTTCAACAATTGATTCATCGTCTCTAACTCTCTCATCGTCTCTGTAACGTGGCACATTCACTATATCTGCCCTATCTATACTTTATTCCTTCATCAACCACTGCAGGCACAGCACATATATCGGCTCTTTCATTTCTTTTCACCTCAGCATATCCCAGTCTACAGCCAAGACAAGTTTCTTGAAGCTATCAACCCATTTTAGTCAGAGTATCGTGGTTTTGATCTTAAGCATGCTCAATGAGTCTGTCACTATCAGTGTGTGAGTTGCTTTCTGTTCTGCTAGCCATGCAAGTGCCTCTGTGAGGTCTGATGTCTTCATTGAATGTTGAATTAAGAATCGACATCACAGCACTCAGGACACGCTCATAAGGGCCCATTCACCACCTTCAGCAGCATGTGAAGAGTTCCAATTCTGAAGGTACTAGTAACCGTCTGATTGTATATCCGTCTCATCCTTCCCCTGAGTGTTGAGCGTCGGTCAGATGCCCTGGTAACTCCGTAATTATCTCTGTGCCTCTGCGCTGTTCACCCGTTCCCAAAGGACCCACACAGTATCTGACTTGTCATACATCAATTCCCCACCAAGTAGTGCAGAGCCAGCCAGTCTTTCTGCCTGTCTCCATTGTGATAATAGAAGTATTAAACTGAATGTCTGAATGTCTTTCTTCAACGATATATTTTTTAATCTTGTGGGTTTTTTTTAAAGCAAGATTCAGCGACACCATTTATTTCATAATCTTCCTCGTGCTTTCCACTCATGTTCTGCTGTAGGTGTCCCATATGTGATGTAGTGTGGCTACATTCTTACTAGATCAGCGGTTGTCAACCTGTAGGTCGCGACCCTTTCACAGGGGTTACCTATGACCATCAGAAAACACATATTCATTGAAGTTAAAGAAGGTTAACAGTGGAGTTACTGAGTTCGTGCTCTGTGCTGTGAGTTATATTTACTGAAGTTGTGAAGTAGCAACAACAAAATTTTTATGGTTGGGGTCACCACAACATGAGGATCTGTATTAGAGGGTCATGGCATTCGGAATTTTGAGAACCACTGTACCAAGCCAAGCCACTTCATTCTCTTCTTTTATTGTAAATTAGTCTTTTTCTGGTTCCAGGTTTCTAATGCTGGTATCCTCCCCCACACTTCCCTACCTTATTCTTTCTATTCCCTTTTCCATGTATTTTTGTGTGTTGGTCTGCCTTTATTTCTTTGACCCTGTGGGTTCTAGTACAAGGGGACTGAACCCAAGGTCTTTTACAAGCAAAGCGAATGTCCTTCCACAGAGTTATATTACTTTTAATTTAAACCTCTTTGTGCCAGTTTCATCAGAACTGTCTTTATTTATATATTTTTTTTTCAACAGGTCTGAAAGTCCCAGGAGATGATTGCAAGTTGTATGTTGGTGATCAGACATGTTGCTGGCAAGAGGGGAAGGTTCTGTGTTTTAATGATGCTTTCCCACATTCAGTGGAGCACACAGGAGCAGCACCTGGCAGCAGCTTAAGAGCGGTGTTTATGTTGGATCTTTGGCACCCTGATATCACAAAGACCCAAAAGGATATTCTGAATTATACTTTTAGTGCCTGAATATGAAATCAGACAAATGTTAGGAATAAAGCCAGTCTTGCAGGTCATCAAAGAACGACAAGTGTTGTGGTTTGGACAACTAACAAAAATGCCCTGGTACTATCTGCCATAACGAGAAACACTAAAACATTACAATGGGTATAGAGCGAGTAGAAGACCTCGGAAAATATGGAGTGATGGCATTAAGAACAGCCTTACAGAAATGAACATCAGTCTTAACAGTGCTCTTGACAGAGCTCATCAACGAATGTTACATCTCCCCCTAACACTTTGATGAAGTACAAGGTGGAAGAGGAGGAGAAGAAGAAGAAGTGCATGAAGGCTTTGGGATGTCTGAGAAGGGCTGCAGGAGTGACCAGATGAAAGAAATCAGAAATGAGGTCATTAGAGAGCAAGTCGGCACAGAATCAGTTCTAAATTACCTACAAAGACAGCAAATCAGATGACTTGCTCACTTAGAGAGAATAATTTGTGGCGCCATACCGTAAAAGGCATACACCAAAAGAGAAGCGGAAGGTAGACCAAGAACAAGATGGAAAGGTAACATCAGAGAAATTCTACAACAGCACGAAGTGTCTACGGTTGAAGCAATCAGAAGAGCAACAAGCAGCACCTTATACCTTCAGTTAAAGAGGAAGTGAAGAAGGAAAAGCATGAGGAGGTTGGTATAGTTGTATTTATAGGATCCTTGGCCCTTGAATGCCACAGTTAGGCATGGCATCATTCTTGTAGAGGTGACTCAATAAAATACTATGGCCAGTGGCATTTCTGCACCCTGATGTCACAAAGACCAAAAAGTATCTACTGTATTATACTTTTAGTGTATCAAGGTTGACAAGATTAGATTTCTACTATTTAAGTATACTTGGATGCAATGGTCTCTCGAGACTGTCTCTTGCAGTACTCTGACAGTTCCAATGGATCTTCGAAGACTGTCTGTTGGGATCTTCGATGACTGTCTGTTGATCTTGTAGTACTCTGACATTTGGCTGCAATGAATCTCCCAAGGCTGCCTTCTGCTCTATAGTACTCCATAATGTTGGTTGGTTGTAATGGCTGTCTCTGGCTCTTGTAGTACTTTGACAGTTGGCTGCAATGGATCTCTCTGACTTTTATGAACTCTTGTAGTACTCTGACATTTGGCTGCAGTGGATCCCCAAGGACTAATATGAACTCTTGTGGTACTTTGACATTTGGCTGCAGTGGATTCCCAAGGACTGTTACAAACTCGTTTAGTACTCTGACATTCGGCTGCAAACCCCAGGAATGTTATTAACTTTTATAGTACTCTGACAGTTGACTACAATGAAATGCCCTCTGTAATAAGCTTTGGCTGCAGGTAAGGTTCAGAGGCTGAAAGCGGAATATCATGGATGGCTAAAGCAGAAGACAAAATAAGACAAGAATGCATGCTGGAGAACATTGGGCGAGGAGAGGAGTGGGTCAGAGTACCAGAGGAAAAGTCTGACCTGTGTAGGGTTGAGATCACATTGGGCTGGGAGTGCAGAGAGTCGCCAGCGGGTGCTACAGAGCGGAATTCCAACAACTGATTCACAATTCTTGCCCAGATGATTTGATTATCTATACAGATGGTTCAGTGTTGAGAGGAAAGAGAAGTGCCTAGGGGTTCGTAGTGAAAACCAAATGGAAAATCTTTAGTGCAGGACAGCCTAGCAAACGATACCACAACGTCTAGCAAGAGAATGGAGGTGGAGACAATAACTGCAGTTTTCCGGTGGCTAGACAACAATATGCATACACATGTCGTAATTGTAACAGACTTTGAAAGCATGCTAAGCAAGGTGAAGACAGGGATGCTTCGAGCAGCGTGGCCAGCTTCACTGGGAATGTCACAGGGAGTGAGCATACAGATCTTTTCTCCAGTCTATGCCAGCGTGGTGAAGAATGAACAAGCAGACAGATTGGCTGGATCTGCACCACTGGGTGGTGAATTGATCTATAACAAGGCAGATGGTCAGAATCCTTTGGGGAAAAAAAGCAACGGAGTGAGAAGCGAAACAAGATTATTATGACCTGGAGAGAATGAGGCACCTGGGTGTAACTAGAGGGTCTGACCAGCTCACTACACTCAAAGGAAAGGTAAGATGAACATATAACCAGATTACGATTGGTACCATTAATATTGGAACTCTGCCCTGGCTGCTGAAGATGAGAATGGAACATGCATGGGAATGCCCCGAGTGCTGTTATGTCAATTCTTGACTCAACTCAACAATACTTTTAAGTCATTTGTGTGTGTGTGGTTCATCTCTTTCTATAAAAACCATAGAAGGAAACTATCTGCCAGCTGGTTTTCAAGAAAAACACAAAAACCTACAACAAAAGAACAGTTGTGCATCAGCCATTTCTTACAGAAAAGCTGCAGCAATCACAAGATATCATTCTTCACAACTAAATCAATACAACTGTGAGCTCCATGTGATGTATATGTCATAAAAGAACGAGGAGAAGGGTTTTCTACAAAAATGACAAGACGACAAGTTAATTAACAGTGCAATATTTTAACATGTTTGTTAAACATCTTTATTATATCAACACAACAGAATGCATCTTATCTTATATTTGTATTTTTTTGTACATGAACCAGTGGAGAGGTCATCGACCTAAACAACTGGGTACCGGGTACGGTTATGGGAAGTAAAGTTGACCGGCGTAATGTTGACCACATCACCCACTGAGTGCCAATTGGTCTAAAAAAACTGTCATAGGGGTGTGTTAGTCATTCACATATACTGTCATAGGGGTGTGACAGTCATTTACATATACTGTCATAGGGGTGTGACAGTCATTTACATATACTGTCATAGGGGTGTGACAGTCATTCACATATACTGTCATAGGGGTGTGACAGTCATTCACATATACTGTCATAGGGGTGTGACAGTCATTCACATATACTGTCATAGGGGTGTGACAGTCATTCACATATACTGTCATAGGGGTGTGACAGTCATTCACATATACTGTCATAGGGGTGTGACAGTCATTCACATATACTGTCATAGGGGTGTGACAGTCATTCACATATACTGTCATAGGGGTGTGACAGTCATTCACATATACTGTCATAGGGGTGTGACAGTCATTCACATATACTGTCATAGGGGTGTGACAGTCATTCACATATACTGTCATAGGGGTGTGACAGTCATTCACATATACTGTCATAGGGGTGTGACAGTCATTCACATATACTGTCATAGGGGTGTGACAGTCATTCACATATACTGTCATAGGGGTGTGACAGTCATTCACATACACTAGGTTATGGCATCATGACGTGGGCTGACCTGCTAACTCATCTTCCCCGAAATATCTCAGGTAAACAGTTCATCATCTTCCTCTTTGTTCACTGGCTGTAAGCTCCAGTGGAAGGTCGTCCATTTGGACTCTCTGGTTTTGTGCCAGGGCCTGAGTTTTGCGTGTACATCCGTTTTACTTACTCATTTGTGTGCAGCTGATTGTTCCTTGCTGTTCGGGCAGATACACTCCAACTTCAAAGGAAGCCCCAATTAGCCGGACTCCTAAGACATGCTTGTTTGGGAGGCAGTAGGTCTATTGTTGTGTTCCCCAGAACCTACACGGGGAAACCAGTTTACAAGTTTGAGTTGATCTTTAGATGTATGATGTTGGCAGCCTCAATAACTGTAACTAGCAGCCTCAGTATTGTATTTGAAGCCTCAATAACCAAATTAGCTGCCTCGATTATCATACAACCACCCTCAGTAACCATATTAAGCTGCTTCAAAAACCATATAATCAATCTCAGTAACCATATTAACAACCTCAAGATTAATATTAACAGCCCCAATAACCTACACATGTAAACCCTGAATAAAATTTGGTTCATGTTGAAAATAATTGTTGATCGTTTTTTTATTTTCCTTTTCATTTTAATTTCTAATTTCTGCCAGCACCTGTAATTACTTGTACAAGGAAAAACTAAATAAAATTTTACAGTAGTACTAAATTCAATTCCATGGCTTTGCCTCAGACAGTTCACAATTTTTTTTGACTGATTTCAGAACCTGGATAAGGAAATAGAGAAGAGTGGCCTGTGTAAAACGGAGAGGTGTGGGAGGATAGATTTTCCAGGCTGATGGTTTCTCTTTAAGGTTTAAAAAAGCTATCATGTTTTTTTTTGCTTTGTAGATTTGATGTAGACGAAGGCTCTTTAGTCACCGCATTTTGTTTTAGAAAACAAAACAAAAATCAGCTGACCAATTCTGTTTCTATTTTAGTATACTTGTATGTTCATCTGAAGTACTATGCATGCATTAATAATAATAAAGTGCTTACCAAGAGGTTAACAACAATTATATTTTATCTATAGGCATTAATGAACAAGAGTTTTTTTTTTTTTTTTTTTTTTTGCGTTCACCGGCTGTGAATTCCGGCGGAAGGTCATGGTTAATCGTCCGCTTGGATTTTTGGCTTTCACCCGGACCTGATTTTTGCGTGTACAACCGTTTTAATGTTCCCTGCCTCATGGGCAGCTGTACTCCGACTTCGAAGGAAGACGTCAGGCCTATTTCTAGGTTGACTGTGGCCATTGTTTTGTGTGGATCAAGACGTTGCCTGATTTGTGTGGAGTCCACTTTGTCTCCTTCTCCACAGGTATTGCCCCCGGAGTACCCCTTTGGGGCAGCCCCCTGTGGAACAGTTAGCCCTCAAGGGAAGGCAGGGGCAGATCATGGGCATTCCCCGCCATCCAAGGAGTCTTCCATGTTTGCAGAGCCGGCACATGGCGCTCTGGTTCTGGGTTCACCCAAGGAATCGTCACGTCCTGCACATGCCTGCTTAACCTCACAACCGTATCAGGCTTCCCGCTCGACAAGAGCTGCACCCTCTGGAAGTCAGCGGGGAGCAGCCCGTGGGTTTTGGACTTTTGTGACCACACGAATTGGTACACACTTTTTTCTTTGCACGTTAGATTTCTTTGACGAGCCGTTAGCCCGACAGAATTTTACATCCTGCGT